GTTTTGGACTGGTAGTAGTCGGAGAGCCGGGTGGTGCAGATTGACAGCGATAACAGTCAGCCCCGGGGAAGCAACAGCTGCGAACGAATAACCCAACTGATGCAATAAATACGATATGCAAATCCTTCTGGTCTCCATGCCTCGTAGTTGCTGCTTTGCCTGCAATATTCCACAGTATGGCTTTAAATGTATCTATTCTCTACTGAGACAAAATATTACAGTTACAAGGTATTTCTACACAGCAGAAGCACCTGCAACTGAATGAATGCGATGCTGATAATGCCATACTGTGGAACTTTCTGAGCAAAGCAATAACATCTTCATGAGACAAACAGGTGGCGGACAATGGACTAGAAAAGCAAACAGACCTGGAGTTGTGTTTTGTTTCATTCATGTTTAACACACAAACTCTGCATATTTATTAGGCTGAGATCTTCTCTCAAACGGGAAACACTGTGTTCCACTTTGTGATGTCATATGATGATGTAAAACAGGAAGTGCTCCACTGTGTTTTTAAACTCCACACACCTTCACTAGAAACATTTGGATCATTTCATCATCTCTACTGAAAAAAGGTAAAAGGATTTTGAGCATTTTGGGCTTTGGAGATTTAGACAAATAATAAAGGGTTACTCAAACATGTGTGAATGAAAAAAACAAACAACTCCAGGTCTGTTTGCTTTTAACTCCAGTTATGTTTTTGATGAAGTAACAACATTGTAACATGGCTTAAAGCTCAAGAGTCAGTCACCTATTATTCTGGTTGTGATTCTGTTTAATTTACTGAAAGCTTAGATGTTAAAATTATAATTAAGGTAAACTTTTATAAATCCTATTCTTCAATGATACTGAGGCTGCATTTACACATAGCCAGGTATTTTGAGAAACTAATATTTCCCTCCCTCTGGTTTCCAAAATAACACTGTGCACATAAGATCGTTTTCAAAAAAGTTTTCGTTTACATCAACCCACATAAATACGCCACTGAGCGCCATCGTGACTAAGCCAAACCTCTGGGTGTCACCTGGATTAGATTAAAACCTCAAGCATTTATTTCATTACAGTTGTAAGCATTACTCACAAATACCTAAATACCATACAAATGAAAAGTGTTTGCAGTAGAAGAAATGTGGCTGCTGCTCTGAATGCGTCCATCATCATCATCACAGCGAAAGGGAAACACACAAATACATGTGAAACACATTAGGGCAGGGCAAATCAATTAACAGACAGGAAGTTAAACTCAAACTACAAGCGGACAGAACCAATATCAAAATAAAACACCAAGAGCACACAACAGTAAAGGAAAAGATCCACCAAAATAAGCAAAAAACAACTACAAAGCTTGAACCATGACACACAGTATGTATTACTCCTGATGCTCCTGACTACAGGAGCCATGACGCTGCAAGTGGTGCGGCTTTGTAGTTTACTAAAGTCGTACTAAGACACCCCAATAAATTCATATATAAGGCGCTCTGGATTATAAGGCGCACAGTCGTTTTTTGATTAAATTAAAGGCTTTTAAGTGTGCCCTATAGTGCGGAAAATATGGTAGTTTTAATCTTTTTAACACTTGTCTGTTCTTTTTTATTGGTCTGTTACTGTTTTGTTTGTTTCTTTTTGTTTCATCCTGCATAAATACGCCATCGAGCGCCGTCAGACCTACACCAAACCTCTGGGCAGCATCTGGATTAGATTCAAATTTGTAGCATTTATTTCATTACAGTTGTAAGCGTTACTCACAAATACCTAAACGTGCATTACTGAGCGGGCTCGCCTCTCCACAGATATGTTAAAGAAATTGCTGACCTTCTACTCTCATTCGTCTCTGGTGCATGAATATGATCCATCAGCTGTGTGTGCAAATGCAAACAAATGAAAAGTGTTTGCAGCAGAAGAAATGTGACTGCTGCTCTGGATGCTTCCATCATCATCATCACAGCGAAAGGGAAACACTGGTCGTACTTTTGGCGAGTCAGCTCCTAAAACTCTGTCTATCTCACTTCACATGCAAACGAATTCCAGAATCTTCACTATAGCCGGAGTTTTCAGAAAGATTCATTTTCAGAGGCGAATTCGATGTAAAAGACGGGTACAAACGAAGGGAAATGTCTGCGTTTTTAAAAATACCCATGTACGTGTAAATGGGGCCTGAAAAGCAACCACATGGTGCAGCCCCAGACCTTTCCTCCACATCTAAAGCAGGATCTTGGTCAGATTAGTACGGAAGCCGAGAGGGGTCACAACAAACGCAAACGCCGCAACACGAACGCAAATGCCGCAACACATCAAAAAGCCACAACGGAAGTGACCGCGGGACTCTATTTTCCGACGGACCGATCAAGCGGCAAGTGAAGAAGAAGAACTACAATGTGAAAAGTAAAGGAACGGAGAAGTTGGAAACGTAAGTAAAAGTAATTTATTGTTTTATCATTATTCGTTTCACATTGTAGTTCTTCTTCTTCACTTGCCGCTTGATTGGTCCGTTGGAAAATAGAGTCCCGCGGTCACTTCCGTTGTGGCTTTTTTTGATGTGTTGTGGCTTTTTAATGTGTTGTGGCATTTGCATTTGTGTTGTGGCGTTTGTATTTGTTGCGGCGTTTGCATTAAAATAGAGTCCCGCGGTCATTTCCGTTGTGGCTTTTTTGATGTGTTGTGGCTTTTTAATGTGTTGTGGCTTTTTAATGTGTTGCTACATTTGCATTTGTGTTGTGGCGTTTGTATTTGTTGCGGCGTTTGCATTAAAATCTCGCGGTCATTTCCGTTGTGGCTTTTTTTGGGTGTGTTGTGGCTTTTTGTCGTGTTGTCGCATTTGTATTTGTTGCGGCGTTTGCCTTTGTTGTGACCCTTCTCGGCCTCTGTAGATTAGCCTCGGGAAGCTTTGTGTTAATGTGGAAGACTGTACCTACAATGCAAACTCTCACGTAAAGATTTTTCAAAAGGTCTCGGAACTAAACCCAAGCCAAGAGACTCAGGATAAATCAAGGACCTGCTCAGAACTTGACAAATTGCCCATACTTAAAGGCCCTTTGTCTGATCTGTGCATGCATCAGCAGCTTTCAACAAATATGGATACTACATAAGTTAGAGCACGGCAGAGGATGAAGTTGGGCCAACAATTGATATATTTGAGCAATTGTTTACACTTCCTTTATTTCTCGTGGAATGAGCAATGTCTCATTACGATCATTGCTGAGGTAGGCGCATGTTGGACTCAAGCCACTTAAAGGTTCAGTCTGGTGTAGGGAGGAGATTTTACAGCTTAGAATCTTCTGCAGTTTGGTATTTGTCTTATTTTCTTTGGCATTTGTTCATTTACTTTCTACTGCTCAAACATACCTTGAAAACCTGCAATATTAAAGTGAGTGGGCTGGCCTCTCCGCAGATCTGACCTATAGCTTCTCCTGCTTGTCTCGGTGCAGATTGATAAGTTTAATGTCATATTGTAGAACATTTCAGGCAAAGAAGCAACATCTCCACAGAGACAAGCAGGTAGCAAACTCCCCAAAAGAATCATTTTACAGTATTTAGGTTTTAAGGATTTCTACGGGACAACAGCAGAACAAAAAAGTGGGTGAGAGAGCTAAAAAATTTAGTATTTTGGATATTTATATGTAAAAAGGCAAATTAAAGGTTCTATGTTTCGTAAAAATTGACTCTTGTGAGTTTCTATTCATGTTATAATGCTATTACCTCCTCAAAAACAGACCTGGAGTTGTGTTTTGTTTCATTCACACATGTTTGAGTAATCCTCTGTCTACATCTCCACAGCTTAAAATGCTCTGTTCCACATTGTGATGTCATGAAGCGGTATTTCAACAGCTCCTTTTATCTAGTTAGTTATAGTTAGAACTAACTATTAGTTCTGCAAATTTCTCTGATTTCGCCAAGATTTTAAAACTTGTATGTTGTAGGTTATTCATTTTATTTTCAGATTTATTATCTACTTACTACAGGGTTCCCACGGTCATGGAAATTTAAATTGAGATTGAGATTGAAAATGTCATTTTCCAGGCCTAGAAAAGTCATGTAATTTTAATATCTCTTTCACACAACTACAGCCTTCTGTTATGTTCTCATTAGACTATTATGATTATTTCCAAACATCTGTGCCTTCTGTTTAAAAGAGATGACAATAAATGCACTGACAGGATTTTGAATGCTCAAAAACTATAATCCCAAACCATAACATGAGTAGAAAAGGTTAACATTTTCATATTTAGCCCTTAAAGTCTGATCAGTTCTAAACATGTAGGTGCTGTAAAGTCATGGAAAATGCACTTTTAGCCATGAAAAAAACATGGAAATGTTTTGAAATGTTGTCAATTACTAGTTCTAAGATGCTTAATTCTAGTCTAGAGGTAGTTTATTTTAAGACAACTTGTCAAGAAAAATAATCTTACTGCATGGACACATCATTTTACTACTTTTAAGTCATTTTCTGATGGATTTAAGTGTTTATATTTTACATTTTGACCAAGCTTTTTTGCTGTGTAGAGATGATTTTAGGGCTCAAATCACCTACATGATTTCTGTGAAAGTGTGTGGAGTTTAAAAACACAGTGGAGCACTTCTTGTATTACCACATGACATCACAAAGTGGAACAGAGCGTTTACCATTTTGAGGATTTGTCTAATGTTAAATGTGTAAATGAAACAAAACACAACTCCAGGTCTGTTTATGATGAAGAAAAAAGTTATAACAGATCAGAAAATAGCAGAATATGGGCCACTTAAACTCAATGATGATTTCCTTTGTTACTTTTTTCATAAATAGCAGTTTTTTCACGAACTTGTGGAACAGGTGTCGTCTTGTATGTGGAGTTTGAATGAGATATATGGAGAAACACAACCGTTTTGAGAACTTTGGCCACGCCCACTTTTCGTTCACCAATCAATCAGTAGTCAACCAATCTTTAGTCAACCAAGAATTTCTTTAATCCATTACAGCCCGCTAGGACAATTCAAACTACATGAAATTAAAAAAATGTTCTTACCTGCGTTGCGTAGTTTTCGGTTTCGGAGCACAGCGACGATCACCAGCAGATTCCCCAGCACGTCGACCACGGTGGTGAAGATCAGAACCGCAGCCAGAGTGTATACCACCCACATAGGTCGCCCCATGGCCAGGGTCGCCTTGGGTTCGTCGTCCAGGGAGTCCATGTTGCCCTCCACAGCGCCCCCCATAGGTTCTACTCCGAAAAGTCTCTCCTCACATTCTACGTTTTCTTCAGAAACCGCAAGAAGTTCAAATTACCTTCAAGCGTATTTGGCGTTTGTTCGTAGTTTTGTTGGTTCATTTGAATGTTAAGGTCGGGCAATTCGGGCACCGTACTTTGTCTGCCATTTTTGTAGTTTTGTAGTTCTTGTAGTTCACGTAATAGCCATGTGGGTGGACAGAAGTTCAGGTGAACCAGTTTGAAAAGAGCAGTCTGAATCCCATTTTGAGTTAAGATTTCATTTAGGATTTTCCTGAGTAATCTTGAGTAAAAATGGGCAGCAGTAAATCCATTCAAACGCAGGTCGGTTGAAACGAAATATCTTCTTGATAGGTCTTCACATTTTTTGAAGGACACCGGCAGTTTCTCTCTGACGTTCTTAACCTTGGCTACAGAAATGTAATCTCCAAATGCCAGGCAAACCAAAACTCTCCCCTGAAAAAGCACACCTTCAGAAATTGAAGCAGTTTCATTTTTCAAAACGTCTTGGCGAGATTGAGTCTGAAATTCAATTCGGTTTTGACATTTTTGAATATCCGATGGAGGAGTTTTCTTCTCTCAATGACCCAATCTTTGAGTCAGGTAAAATTTCTGAATGAACGATGTCCGTTTTGACTTTTCTTGTCGGTCCATCGACAATAGTCATTTCTAAAAATAAAACGTCTTCCACTTTCTTCTTTACAGATCACGAAAATGTTTGTATTTTAGTTCAGTCCAAGAATTTTGAAGTTCTTGATTGAATCTATAAATTTCTTTACTGTCAATTCAAAAAGTCCCATCGAACTCTTATCGAAATATTTTCTACCACACCCCTTTTACTTGAGTCTAAACTACTTCTTGGTCACTGTATTGGTTTTGTCTTTAAAAGTCTACCTCATATAACCTCATCACATTTCAGACTTTTTCAAATTGGTGTCCTCCTTGGAGATCTCCCATGCCTTTTGTCCAAGTCTTGCCCATCGTAGAAGATTTTAATAGTTCTCGAGCGTCCACGCAATCTTCACGGGAGGTTTCGTGGTGTTTCTTTTACGGTTTCGAGCTCGCTCCATCGGCTTTTCACTTATCCAATCTTCAAAACCTCCACTCGTCAGCTGTCACTCGGCTCGGTCATCCTGTCTCCAGCTCCGTTCGCGTTCTCTGTATCATCATCACGCCCATAGACAGTGTCCCTGCGTGCTCCTGTCCCGGTCTCCTTTGATTTCCTCGGCTCTACTCCTCCTCCTCCTCCTCTCCTCTCTTTGCTCCGGCTCCCTCTCCTCTCTCCCCTCTTTGGCTCTGTGTGTCGGATTCTCTGTCAGAGGCACCGGAGCAGAGCCAGGCCCCGCCCCCCCCGGTCCACGTGCGCTGCCCTGTGAGGCGTGGAGCTCATTCATTCACGCTCAGTTTGTGTGTACAGCAGCTGCATGTGGGCGGATGTAAACATATGGGGCTAATTATGATAATGAAAGTGGAGTGCATTTACCAACACTGTATAATTAAACAGAGATAATAGAAGAATTCCCCCATTGATAAAAAACAAAACAAAAACAGAAAATCATATTCAGATACAGCAGCCTACGTTAATAATTTATCTTTGATTCACTATATTTAAAGGGCCCATGACGCTATTTTCTGGTCTATGTTATAATGTTTCCTCATCACGAACTGACCTGGAGTTGTGTTCTGTTTCATTCACACATTCAGAAACTCTGCATATTTGGGTTGAGTTCTTGTCTCAAACAGAAAACACTCCATTCCACCTTGTGATGTCATCTCTTAATACAGGACGTGCTCCACTGTGTTGTCAAGATCCATACATCTTCACTAGAATCATTTGAATAGACCAATTTTGTTGATCTGCAAGGGGAATTATTTGGACACAATGACTCACACATCACAATAAAGCAAAAATATAAATGATAATAGTAAATTCTTAATAGGCAGCAGAAAATAAAGCAAGAGACTGGTGTCAAATAAGACATAATTTTATAAATGTACATGTACAAGTCAAAATAAAATAGAATGATAAGTAATAAAATATAAACTTACAGCTTTATACAAGAGGTCATAAGAAGACAGAGCAACAATGATACGATGATTGACAGGGCATAGGGTTACCTGTTACATAAGGGTGAGTTGTGGTACAGTTGTAGGGAGTATTATAGTACGACTGTAGTCCTGTATCTCTGACTGTTTGAGTGGAGCTGTAGGAGTCTGTTGGAGAATGAGCTCCTCTGTCGCTCTATAGTCTGGTGTAGCGGGTGAGTTGTTGTACAGTTGTAGGGAGTATTATCTGTTCCATAAGAGTGAGTTTTTGTACAGTTGTAGGGAGTATTATCTGTTCCATAAGGGTGAGTTGTTGTACAGTTGTAGGGAGTATTATCTGTTACATAAGGGTGAGTTGTTGTACAGTTGTAGGGAGTATTATCTGTTACATAAGGGTGAGTTGTTGTACAGTTGTAGGGAGTATTATGTGTTACATTAGGGTGAGTTGTTGTACAGCTGTAGGGAGTATTATCCATCACAAAAGGGTGAGTTGTTGTACAGTTGTAGGGAGTATTATCTGTCCCTCTATAGTCTGGCGCAGCGGGTGAGTTGTTGTACAGTTGTAGGGAGTATTATCTGTCCCTCTATAGTCTGGCACAGTGGGTGAGTTGTTGTACAGTTGTAGGGAGTATTATCTGTCCCTCTATAGTCTGGCGCAGTGGGTGAGTTGTTGTACAGTTGTAGGGAGTATTATCTGTTCCATAAGGGTAAGTTGTTGTACAGTTGTAGGGAGTATTATGTGTTACATTAGGGTGAGTTGTTGTACAGCTGTAAGGAGTATTAACCATTACATAAGGGTGAGTTGTTGCACAGTTGTAGGGAGTATTATCTGTCCCTCTATATAATCTGGCGCAGTGGGTGAGTTGTTGCACAGTTGTAGGGAGTATTATCTGTCCCTCTATATAATCTGGCGCAGTCGGGTGAGTTGTTGCACAGTTGTAGGGAGTATTATCTGTCCCTCTATAGTCTGGCGCAGTGGGTGAACAGGAGTGTCTATCATGTCCAGTGTCCTCGTTTCCCTCACTCAGCTCACAGCCGATCACGTGACCAGCTTTACGGATCAGTTTGTCAATCTGCCCAATGTCCATTTGAAAAATTTCAGCCCTAGAATTGCCAATCTGAAAAAGGTAAAAGGCGCAGTTAGCTTGAACATGACCACTTCATGACATCACATCGTGGAACAGAGCATTTTGAGCTTTGGAGATGTACACTAACTTGGCTCACGTTAGATTGATCTGTGTGTCACTCTGAATTGAGTTCTACAGATTCTCCATCTGGAACGGTTCTCGCTGAAAGTGTTTAGAAAAAGGAAAGACTTGCAGCAGAATGCCTCGAGCTGATTGAGCGACTCACCCCGAAGTGACCGCCCATCAGTTTCTTTTTAGCCAATCACGGCAAATCTGTCGAAATGACATATCCAACCTGAGTCAGATAGAACCAAAACAAGTGTCATGTTGCAGAGGGAAGATGTCCATAAAGTAATTTAGCTGTTTTTGCAATACAAATTTGTGCATTAAAAGGATCCCCGGTACTTTGACATCCTGGTCTTATACGATTAACGTTGGCATCAGTTATAAATATGTGATACCAAAAAACTCAAATATGTTTGCTTGTAGTATTTTTATTTATAAAAAGGGAGAACATATGATCACTGGTACCATATTTGTTTACGTCACAATGCATTCTGTGTAGCGTCGTCAAGCGGTTGGTTGGATTCGTCGTCGATGTTGATGAACGGTCTTGGCAAGATTCAGTTTGAACCTGAGCGCACATCAAGTTTGTAGGACAACTCCAAAGCTCCCCCTGCCATAGAAGCTCTGTGATTGGGTGACCACTGCTTGGGTCCAATTTAAACCGTACAGCGAGAGCGCCTCAACATGGATTCTCGTGAGTTTGAAAACACAAATATCGTGAGAATCCATCTTACTGCACAAGGTTAGATGTAGACAGTATGGACATCCTACACAAGTGCTCCCTACAATTACAGTCAACCGTAGCTCAGTTGGTAGAATGTTTATCTACTGATCCAAAGCCTGATGGTTCGAATCCTGCTCTTGGCATAAACATCATTGGTTGAGCGATCAGATCCACTGACCACAGGTTGGTGGTGAATCTCCAGCTCCCATGCATGGGTGATGAATTTGGGCAAGACACACAAGTAACCCTTTATCTACTAGTCTACTGTCCATACTGTCTACATCTAACCTTGTGCAGTAAGATTCTCACAATATTTGTGTTCTCAAACTCACAAGAATCCATCTTGAGGTGCTCCCGCTGCCATAGAAGACCTGTGATTGGGCGACCACTGCTTTGGTCCAATTTAAATGGTAAATGGTCACATTTTTCTATAGCGCTTTTCCACCTTCAAGGCACTCAAAGCTCTTTACAACAAGGAACCACTCACCCATTCACACACCAGTGTACGCAGACACTGTGGGCAAGGTGGGTCAAGTGTCTTGCCCAAGGACACAACAACAGCATTCATCTGTGGGAGCTGGAATCACACCAGCCAACCTGTGGGTCAGTGAATCTGACCGCTCAACCTGTGATATTTATGTCGAGAGCTGAAATCAAACCATCAACCTTCAGATCAGTGGGCGAATGCTCTACCATCTGAGCTACTGCCACCCAAACCATACAGCGAGAGCACCTCAAGATGGATTCTCGTGAGTTTGAGAACACAAATATTGTGAGAATTCATCTTACTGCACAAGGTTAGATGTAGACAGTATGGACAGTATAGACAGTAGACTAGTAGATAAAGGGTTACTTGTGTGTCTTGCCCAAAGACATCATCCATCTGTGGGAGCTGAAGATTCACCACCAACCTCTGGATCAGTGGATCTGATTGCTCAACCAACGATATTTATGCCAAGAGCAGGATTCGAACAATCAACCTTTGGATCAGTGACTGTAACTGTAGGGAGCATTTGTGTAGGACGACCATCTTGTGAAAATGCGTGATTGTTGGTTGACGTGACCCTTTTCAGTACATTTTTAATATTTGTTTTTTTGTTTAGCTGTAGATGTAACTTGGTGTTTTAATATGTCTTCTTCAGTACTTTGATCAGTTGCAGTTTTTTTAAATAACGAGATACAGTTTGTGTTGACTAAGGAGAGAATGAAGAATGGACTACCTCAATAAAACTGTTTGAGAAGCTTGCGCGGAGCTTTCTAAACCGGAGTCATTGTTCTTACAAATCCCCGAAGGAAAACGAAAAAGTGGAACAAAAAAGCCAAAGTGAGCAGCGTAGAAAAATGTGACCCAGTTTTAAGAACACCAGCTGCCGAACACGAGCAGGTACGAGAGTTTGAGAAGAAAAAGGATGTTCAGATGACACCACAACACAATAAAGAGGAATTCACTGTTAAAATAACTAAATAAAATGTGTGAAGAAGACAGATTCTTTCATGCAGGACAAATCCGAATAACTCAAACATGCATTAAAGGGCTCATATTACGCTATTTTCTGGTCGATTTCCTCATCTTAAACACAAGTTCTTCTCTCAAACAGAAAACACTCCACTTGTGATGTCATGTGGTAATACAGGAAGTGCTCCAGTGTGTTTTTTAAGTCCACACACCTTCACTAGAATCATTTGGATCATTTCAGACCTGGAATTGCCAGTCTCTACTGAACTAAACGTAGCTATTAACTTGCAAATTATCACAAAGTGGAACAGAACATTTTGAGCTTTTGCAGATGACAGACTCATAAACGGTTACGCAAATGTGTGTGAATGAAACAAAACACAACTCCAGGTCTGTTTTTGAGGAGGAAAGCTCACAAGGGACAATTTCGCACAATATAACTTTTAATAACACAAAATACAATTCTGTGTAAGATTATGGAAAACCATTATAACATGTTTAAAAACTCAAAAGTCAGTTTTGCATAATTTGTGAATTTTAAACATGTACAAAAGTTGTTTTTCTTTCTTCACAATAGCACTGAAAAATTTACTTTATAATACAGGTGTGATTTTAGATTCAAGAAATGTTAATTGTGTGGTTGTTAATATTCGTGCAAATTTCATCTTTAATTGCTAAGTCAGAATAGCTGGATTCATCAGACGGTTTCACTTCATGGAAACCGTCTGACCTCACAGCATTAGGATTCGTTCGCTCAATGGTAGACAGGTACTTTTTTCATTTAACCACTTGTTGCTATTTGGTTATGACATATGTAATGCGTCAAATCCCGTAGAAAGAAGGACAATAACGTTTTTCCTCTTGATAAAATTCACCAGACATTCTCTTTGTTCCAGCTTTAAATCCTCAATCATCGTTGCTGTTTTGTTTACTGTTGTGCTGTATCACAAAAGGGACCCATACAGGAGCTTGAGTTTGAGGTCATGGCTTCACAGCTCTTCTCTGATTGGCCGGTACGTGGTCTACAACTTCCGGGATTCTTGTAAACCTTCTAGTGTATTCCAATTCCTGACCTAGTCGCTAGAGAGAAATTGAATTGAAATTAAGCGGAGGCATTAGGTGGGGCCAGCTTGGCTCAAGTCAGGAAACAAGAAAAAGTTGAAAAGTGGGGGCTAAGGCTAACTCCCCATTGTAAATTGCACTGGAAAGAATAGAGAAATACCAACCTTTAGAAAGTAGGTATATGGTTTACTCTAGAAAAGTATATTTATGAGTTTATGTTGCTATCTACATCATTTTGAGGACTTTTCCCATTCAAAATACAATAATACATTTAGTTAATATTGGCTCTATTAATGCTTATAACACAAACCAGGACAACGTTTGGAAAAGTGTGATGACAACTTCCGGCAGGCTCTGTTCATGGTAGTAAGTCTGACAAAATCTAGGAAAAAAGAAAAAATGTCCCAGTTTTCATCATCTCCATGTCATGGTAGTGTTCCGTTATGTTCGGCTCATCAACAGTTACAACCACAGCTCAGTTTTCATCATTTCCCCACTGATGCACAACTCTGAGTGCACTGGGTACATGTGATTAGAAGAGATGAGGCGCCAAATTCAAGATGATTCCAAACAGCACATACGTCTGCAGTCTTCATTTTACCACTGATCACATTTACTTCGGTGAGTTTGATCAGAGTCGGTCGGTGAGCCAAACCGTCATCGCATGTTTCCAAACTTCTTCCTGGTTTGTGATGCAAGTGTGAATAGAGCGTATTGTAGCAGCAGTGATGCCGCTGGCTGTGACACTCCTTCCTCTGTGCTCCCCTCTTTCCTGTCCCTGTGTGTGTGGGCGGAGTCTTCACCTGCAGCTGTTAACCTGTGTGTACACAGTCTGCCATCCAGCTTTTGTCTTCAGCTCTGGGGACAGCAGCTGCCAGATTGTTCCATCTTATTACATGGTGATTTTTCAGTCCAAACTTTTTGTAGTTACTTACGTTTTTCTAAATATTCATACTTACCTCCTGTTCTTTTTCAATTTGATTGAAGATTCCACTCTGCATCTGCTTTAACTGCTCTTGAGACTCCCCAGGAAACCTGCTTAATAAAACTCTTAATTTTCTGTCAGCCTCAAGTCAACTCAATTTGGGTCCTTTTTGTTGAGCCACAACAAACAGTCAGCAGACTGAAAGTTTTAATAACATTTTAACAAACAGGTCACTCAGAATGTTCTGGAAAGATACTTATGAGTGGGGAAGAGGGGTTTAAAAAAATCAATCAATATTAACAACAACTTAACCATATCATATATAGCAGCAGTCCCCAACACCTGGACCGGGGACTGGTACCGGTCCATGGGTTGTTTGGTACCAGTCTCTCTGTTACATTCGTCTATGACTCACTCTTGTTGCATGTCAGGATGCTTGTCTCAGTCACATTAACGCTAATATTAAAACCACAACCTGCAAAATGAATAAAAAACAGACGTCTTTGGCAACATTTATTATCATATTTACTAGGGGTGTAACAATATCTAAGTCTCATGGTACAATATCATCACGGCATGAAACTCACAGTATGATATTTACTGTGATATCGTGGGAAAGCTCACGATCAGGAATGTAACAATATCCAAATCTCAGTACGATATTTTCGCAATACATATCTATCACAAAATATATCTAATATTTTGTGGAGGCAACAAAACAGTTAATATGCTACTTTTTCCTCTTAAAATGTTTTGACAAGACTTACTCCGAAGAACTAAGACTTAAAAGTGCTTAGAACTGTTATTCCTTCATATAGTTTGCACTGAAATGGAGCAAAGGATCATGGTCTATGTAGTTCCCTCTGTCTTTTTTTAAATTATTGCTGCACCATAACTCTTCATTTAAGCAAAGAAACTTGTAATTCGATATATTATGATGGTCCAAGATATTATTGTGAGAACTTTGATGATACGATACAACGATATTTCAGTTATTGTTATGTTTTTGTGTTGATCATATCGTTTTATTTTGTCGTATTTATCCGACACAACTTCAAGGACGGTCCGTGAAAATATTGTTTGACGTTAAAATGATCCATAGCGCAAAAAAGTTTGGGGACCACTGATTTAAGGACAATACCAATACAAGAATCATAATATTAATATTACTGTCAATATCAAAATAACTTGTGGCAGCAGTCCCACTTTTATACCTTTCTGAAATTCATGGATATTTTCTTCTCCATGAAGTTTTAAAGACCTCGCCCTCCATCTAAACGTTATGTGACAGCTCTATTTGTTGAGAGCAATAAAACTATGGAACTTCGTGGCAAAGCATTCCGATATTTCAATTATAATGAGAACACGCGTAGTCCAGGCCCCGTCTCCCGTGAGACTGCCGTGTTTTGTGCCCGTTTTCTCCTCACTCTTGGTCATCGCCGGAGTTTTATGTTTGCAATAACCTTTTTGGCAGCTCCGCATTGGCTCATCAGTGCTCGGAGTGAAGTGGAGAGGACATCTTAAAAGTCTCTGAGAAAATACACATTAGACTTGTAAAAGAGGGTCAATGAGGGGTTAGAGTGGACTATATGAGAGGATAACAGGGAGCAGATCCACACAGGGGACGAGGCAGACCAAATGTTCAATGTAAGCAGAGTTAGAGCTAATTAAATGCATATGTTAAGCTATATCCGGAAGTCATTAGCTGTATGAAGTAGAAAACGTAGCAGTACAGGGTAACTGGAGAAGCCATCGGAAATGAAAAGTAATTTGTTTCTAATACTAACAGGGCTGGACATTAAAGGCTCTATTTATATTAGACAAAATGGATTATTGTGTGCTTTAAGTCATGTTAGAATGTTATTACTTCATCAAAAACAGACCTGGAGATGTGTTTTGTTTCATTTACACATGTTTGAGTAATACTTTATAATTAGTCTGTTTACATCTCCAAAGCTCTGAATGCTCTGTTCCACCTTGTGATGTCATGAAGTGGTAGTTTTCAAGTTAACAGCTACTTTGTTCATTAGTGGCAATTCCAGGTTTGAAATGATCCAAACCGTTCTCGTGAAAGTGTATGAAGTTTAAAAACACCATGGAGCACTTCCTGTATTGCGACATGACATCACAAGGTGGAACAGAGTGTTTTCTGCTTGAGAGAAGCCTAACAATGCAGAGTTTGTGAGTTAAACATGAATGAAACAAAACACAATTCCAGGTCTGTTTGTGATGAGGAAACAACATTATGACACAGTATGGATGGGCATGATTAGTCGACTAATTGATCATTAAGATTTTTGACAAATGAAATGTAGGTTTTTGTGCGCAGTGTAGCGTGAGGAGACGAGGCTGCGTCTGACAGCACAAACACTGGAGTTGTGCCTCACAGTCCCACGTTTGGGCTCTGGCTCCTTGGAAACACTGTTCCACTCACTGAGTGTGTTTACAGCACATCAGTGTCCCGGGTATGATTGGATTTTTTTGAGTATCCCAGTTTGGTCATGGTGCATGTAAACGCAGTATCCTGGTTACTGCAACATGAAGTTGAGTGCACATGCGCCCAAAAGACAAACACTTTTTAGTCTTTTCATCACAACAGTAGCCAAAATAAATAAAGTGACCAACATAAATAAAGTGAAATGATTGTTAAATAAAGAGCTGCACTAAACCTGCACACGTCTGATCTCTGAAAACATTAACCATCTCCAACACGACACACACACAGAACACACTCACCATCATCAACATCAACATCCCTCTGTCACAGAGAGAACACTCATATTCCACTGAGTCGTGTCCTTTAGGAAGGTGAACTGCATCAGGACACAAGGAAAGAGATGTTTTTTTCAGCACTTATAGTTTATGCAAATGAGTCATGTGGTTTAAATTTTTGTTTCTGCAAAACGTAAACAAATGTGTCAAAGCTGCATTAAACACATTATAATGTCAAACAGGCTGATGTGGTTCTATAGTGTTTATGGTTTATATGTTTATGCAGATTAGTAAAAAATAAATTACTATTAATTATGATAATTTTAATAAAAACGTTAATGATTAATCAAAAATTTATCATTAATTCTCCTGACAATCGATTACGAATTTAATCGAATGCCCATCCCTATAACAGAGATCAGACAATAGTGTTATATGTGTTTTTTAATGTCTAGCAAACCAAATGCTGTAGATTTTAAACTTAGCTACATGAAACAATCTCAGTACCATTTTAATTTATAGGCTATATTAATTTCTTTATAGCTCAAAACCATATAGTAGCTTTATTAATTTTACAGTGCACCATTAGGGTCCTATACTGTAATAGAAGCTAATGAAACTCATGCATTGTAGTAAAAAAGCAATACGTTTTCCAGTGTAGGGGCCTCTAAGTGTCTCCAAGGGACTCCAAGACGGCAGCATCACTCTGCACTTTTGTTCACTTTTGCAAGCCTCTAATGCCAAGTATCCATTGCATTTCACACTATAAAACGTGAGGAATTTGAACTTGTAGCACTCATTTGCATTGTAAATGACCAAAGTTTGACGGGGCAAATATTAAAGACACTATTCTCTGATCTCTGCTGTCTCTGTTGTTTCCTCATCACAAACAGACCTGCACTTGTGTTTTGTTTCATTCACACATGTGTAACACGCAAAACCTGCATATTTAGACTCAGTTCTTCTCTCAGACTGAAAATACTCTGTGGAATACACACTGTTCCACCTTGTGATGTCATGTGGTAATACAGGAAGTGCTCCACTGTGTTTTTAAACTCCATACAACTTCACTAGAATAATTTGGATCATTTCAACCCTGGAAATGTTAATCTCTACTGAACAAAAGGTAAACTGTAGCTGTTAACTTGAAAACTACCACATCAGGGTCCACAGCCTATAATGACATCTCTTTATTATCACATATCTATATTTAAACAACAATACATTACAACATGCCTCTATTTAGACAGGCCGGTTTTCCCACACTTTTTGGTATCACTATTCTCTAACACGTCATATTTTCTGCCTCTCGCTGTCCATGGTGCTGAATGCAGCTGATCAATCGATAGGTATGTACAGTACAAAGTCCCCCCGGTCCTCATTTTCACCAGTACAATAAACAGTAAAACCTACAGTAAAACCACTCAGGAACAACTCAAATTTTGGGCCATTTTTGACCATTGTAAAAGAGAGAACCACATTATGAACTGGGATGGTGCAAACATCAATGGGACAGAGGAAAACAAACATCGTCGCTGGATTAAAGAGGCAGTCGAAATACAGAAACGTGCCCACGGGACTATAAACCTGGACGAGGGGGCTTTTTTACTCTCACACACCTGGGATAGTGTCCTGAGGAAGTCGGACTGCAGATGGCGCTGTCGTCCTGCCTCCACCGGTAGGAAGACAGCACCAAAACCTGTTTAAATCAGCTACCCAGACACGTCACAGCAACATCACGTGACCACTCTGAGGAAGTGCGCTAGTGAGCAGTTGAAACAGTCAGGTATGAAACAAAACTCTAGGTCTGAAAAAAGAACGTAATAACATAAAATATCGGAAGACCAAATAAATCTCATTGGACTAAAACCACTCACTTTGAGACTCTTAAACTGGGCGTACACTGTGCGATTTTTTTGGCCCTTTTTGAGACGATTTTTCACTCATGCGACTGTTTTTAGGATCAGGCTGAGTTTTCACTTAATCGTGTGTTGTGCTTCATGCAGTATACCGTATACCGTGCAGTGTACAGTATCGGGGAACCGATTAATACCTCAAAACCAGCTCCAGATCGGCATTCATAGTTCGCAAAAATATCAAACCTGTTTAAAATCCAGTCACCTCTCATTAAGGTTTCACTCTGCTGAAGTAGTTTGTATGATGTAAGAACATGAGTCGTGAGGTGTGAACTTTTAAACCCTGCGATTTGGTCGTACAGTTTGAGCTGTGTACGTCCGGCATTAAGTGTTCAAAAGATCACAGCACTACACTTCTAGTTTAGATACAAGTCAAAACTGTCATTAATATTTGTGGAATATTGTGCAATACTTCAGATACATGATTTGTAAAGCATAAATTGGCGATAAAGTCCACAGGAAGTAGAGTCACTATCGCAAATCTGCAGCTTCACCTTGATCCATGCTGTGTGGATGTAAACAGACACACACACTACTTTCACCTTTTTACTTTCAAAGAACACCTCAAACTGGATTAACAGCGCAGTTTTGTGGACCGGATGTTATTATTTGCGGAGGACAATTTATATGGATAATATGGATGAGATGATGCACTTTAAATTTACCACTTTACGAGAGGTGAGGAATAAAGTCTTCTCATTGAGCTGGCGCAATGAACTTAATTGGTTATTTATTTAGGCTGTACGGTGCTCTCCGCAAACTGCCTACACGACAAAATAAATGAAGCACAAAGGGCCCATGCAGTCTCCGTTTTTAGATTAGTTTTTTCCCGAAGGCTGGCATATGCACTTTTTTAAAATGCAGGGCTGTTTCCCACGGCGATCAGTTAGGACAT